CTTATTAAGCGGGATCTGAAGACTACTGAAATAACTTTGTTGTATACATCTTGAATAATGATTTTCTCTTTATTTCTCTGGCATTGTTATTGCTCACTCAAAAACGCTTCTCAATCCTCTTCTTTGTAAACTTCAATACCATCGGCTCCCACATTCGTTTACAGGCGAAGTTTAGCCAAATCAAAACTTGGCGGCTATTTAAAAGAGTACAGAAAGCCGTGCTATAACGTGGAAGTTTGGAAAGTTTTTCTTGAAATCCAAAGCCTGCAACCCGTTTTCACAGAATTTCTGCGATCGTACGAGATAAGCATTGTTTTATTGCTCGTCACGATTGCTGTAAAAGCAATGTAAATATTTTATTTCTTCAAGAACTGGAGAAAAAAGCGTAGCTGATACGTCTAGGCTTACATGAACATGTCTTCAGTCAGCGCAACGTATTTTGGTGTTTATTTTTACTCTTGCAAGTTTCGCTGGCGAGATTTCTAGGTCGGCGGTACGCACTCTACACTGGGTATCGATTTGGCGATTACTTCGAGGAGTTTCCAGTATTTGTTTGTTATCGCTCCCGCCTTCATTTCAATCGGCATCAATATGGCATCGGGCGCAGCAGCGAACAAGTAAGCACAAGTTTTTTTCTAAAAACACTTTCCGTCAGAAAACACCGTTCTGCAAATTTTGTGCTATCAACTCTTTCACTTATGTTATAAGCAATTCAAAGTTGTCGTTTTAGTGCGCTTCTCAATGCTGAAACGGATTTTGGCTTGGATTTGCTCCGACAATCTCCAGCGAATGCGGAGCTTGTCGTTTCTCCAGTTTCCATCATTCTTGCACTGACAATGGTCCAGGCTGGTGCGAAAGGAAAGACAAAAGAGCAAATCGATGGAGTTATAGCAAAAGGTGAGAAAAGCGCTGTTTGTCGTACATGGTAAAAAGACCTTATGACATGACCTTTGAGCTTTTTGATTGCACAAAAGGAAACCACTGCAATCTATTTTTTGTTTTTTATTTTGATTCATGACATCTTTGTTCTTTTCAAAGTTTTGTGCCATCAAAGTCAATCAATTGAATCTCAAAATTCTTTCCCTTCGCTCTCTTTGCCCAAAATCCATGAATAATTATTAAATTTGTTTCAAAAATTGTGCATGACTTTGCGAAGTCTTGTGCTACTAAATACTCTCTTGACTAAAATTTTCGAAGAAATTTGGACTGAACATTTTTCTTGCAAACTTGAGTCAAAGTATTTTATGCCTTGTAATCGTAGGCAAGCGATTGCAACCTTTTGCGGTGTACACAGCAAGCTTAAACATTGTAAATTCAGTAATGTAAACGGTAGGGTTTTCCACTTCTAATGCGACAATTGAAAAATTACAATAAAGGCAATTTTTGAACCCGAGATGACCAAAAAAGTGAATACTGTCAAATTTTCTGCATATTTTCCCTTGAGAAATTTCCATAACATCTGAGTTTGGCACCACTGCACCGAGCATTCGTCGCACGAGTGCAGTATGCGCGTAATCCTACTGAATTTCAGACAAAGAATGGCCTTTCAAAATAAAGGCTTTCAGAAAATTTTATTGGCAATTTCAGTGATAAAATATAGTTCTTGTTATGCTTACACTTCCAGTTAT